TTATTGTATGGTCTTTAGTACGAGTCTTTGATTCGATCAGTTGTATCAGTCTTTTAGTATACCTTCATTTGTGTGATTATTTTGTGCGAAAAAATGAACCATGTTTACGAAAACAATGAACGGAGAGTGTCAACAAAATGCAGTCACAGCATGCAGGTTGTATGCGGAAAGGTTTCCTTTAAGAAATCATGCGGCCGCGCGGATGTTTGTAAATTTAGCTACTTGACTTCGTGGCACAGGATATTTAAACGCATAACGAGGAGGTCACACTCGAAGACCTGCTCAACCTCAAATGTTACAAATTGAGGAAGACATTTTAGAAATGTTCGAAGAACCCAAAAATGGATACTAGAGCCATAGCAGCTCAAGTTCAAGTGTCTCATAGTTAAGTATGCAGGACATTTCTACAAGAACGGTATTATCCTTATTATTACAAGCGTTACAACCTGAAAAAGTTGCATTTTCCAGTGTCTTTTGGAACAGTTCGGTAGATTTTACGAAATTAATTTTGTGTACAGACGAGAGACCCCAATTACATGAAATGGAGTGCACAATTTTTACAACAAAATCCGCATACAATAAAATCAACTCATTTTCAAATAGATTTTTATTAAATGTTTGGGCTCGCGTGGTAAACGTCATGCTTAATGGACCCTATTGTTTCTGACCGGTGAAATTTATTTAGATTTTCTCCAACACAATCTGCCACAATTATTATTAAAATATGTTCTCCTAAATGTGAGATAGAATATGTGGTTCCTACATGATGATATTTTAGTCGAGAAGTTCATGAACATCTAAATAATGAGTTTCCGAATAGATGGTTGGAGCGCAATGGACCCATTTCTTGGCGTGCTCGCTCCCCGGATTTAACGCCTTGCGATTTTTTTCTGTGCGACTATTTGAATGAGTTGTTGTAAAGAATCGTGGATTCGCTGAGCAAGAATTTTCGCTAATCGAACAAATGGGGACAATTATTACCAGTTTTGTATAAACGGTATCTATTTAACATGATTTTTAATAACTCTCTCATTATTCAACTTCTATACAGGTGAGTTTTGGTATATAACCTTTTTGGACGAGTTCTACAAGCTGTTAAATAAATGACTCAACTTTGAAAGTGCTTTTAGCAAGGTTGACTTAAAATTCAACGTAGATTTTAACTAATTCTTTTGAATTCCCCGTTCAATTTAAAACAAATAATTTTTCTTGAATTGCTATTTTTAGATGTGCCTTTTCTGAGTAAAAAAATAAAAACTGTCTAACTTGCAAAATTTTTATTAATTTAATTGGAAAAATTAAACACATTAGGGGTAATGAACAACAACAACTGACAACATAAACATGACATTAAACCAACGAAATGATTACAAAAATTGTTGAAAATGGCCCCCTCCTTGTCTCATGGAATTGCGCACTCGTTGAAATATCCCTGGAGTGTTTTTTATTCTATCACAAGCTGCAACTTTTCTTTTTCTTAATTACTCTACAGTGTTAATGGGACTTGTGTACACTAGTGTCTGAAGATAGCCCCACAAAAAGAAATCTAAACTGCTGAGGTCTGGGGACCTTGGTGGCCATTCTTGGGGCCCACCGCGGCCAATCCAACGATTTGGATAAACAGTTTGTAAATAATTACGAACCGCTACACTGAAATGCGCTGGTGCACCATCATGCATGAACCACATATTGTTTCTTATTACTAACGGAACATTAGCAAGCAGCAAAGGCAACTGTTGTTGAAGAAAATTGAGGTAAGTCTATCCGTCAAGTCGTCCCGGCAAGAAGAATGGGCCAATACAGTGGTAGCCAATAGTTCCTGCCCATACGTTAACCGAAAATTGTTGTTGGAAATGGGTTCCGGTTACAGCAGAGGGATTTTTCTTCTATCCGCAAATGATTCTTGTGGAAATTCTAAATGGCATTTCGAGAAAAATTGGCTTCGTCCGTAAACAGAATCATTAATTCAAATTGTGGATTTTGTGTAATTTTTTGAAGATACCACTGACAAAAGGTCACACACCTTGGAAAATCAATGGGAAGTAATGCCTGTACTCTTAAAATATGGAAAGGATATAACAGAAAATCCACTAAAATTCTCCAAAAAATTTTATGGCAAATATTTAAGTGTCTAGCGATCTACCTTGTACTCGTTTCAGGATGGTCTTCGACTTCATGCAGCACTGCTTCCTCAATTTCAGGTGTTCTCACACTCAGAGGTCTACCTTCAGATGTTCCTTTTCGGACAGAACCAGTTTCAACAAGACGACGATGAATATTAGAAAAGGTTCGACTATCTGGCAAAGCACGATCGGGATATCTCTGGTGATAAATACGTCTGGCTTGCTCACCATTACCGTCGGCAAGGCCATATACGTAATTCATTTCCGCCATTTCTGCATTCGAATAATTCACCATTATTAACAAGATTGTAAAAACTAAATCATGAAAAAGATGTCACCGCGAACAGATTTGAATAACAGAGACTTGTCAGATGTCAAAAGCCAGTGACATATTCCAGAGCAACTAGATATTTATTGCATTCTTCAATTATTACATTAATTTTCTCGGACAATAGAACAGTTTTTATTTTTTTACTCTAAAATAGCGTATCGAAGGAAAACAATTCGTGAGAGATCATTTGTTTTAAATTGAACGGGGAATTCAAAAATAATTTTATCTGGCAAAAAACCATTAGCGTACCATTTTTTTCATAAAAATATCGAAGTCAATACCCATACGCACGCCACTGTTAAAGCTATAAATTATTTTTCCATTGGGAAATTTGCTTCTTTATTAACTTTCACCACGTACTAAATAACAGTGAAATATCTGAAGTGGTTCTGAAAATATTAATTTCCATTTTTTTCCCTAAAACTTCAACACCCCGATTTTTTGTAAGGGAACATTTTTGGACCATACTTTATTAAGCAAACTAACATTAATTTTTCAAGTACATCCACACCCTTAAGTATTCGTATATCATTAAGGAACACCCTGTATAGCGCCTTTTTCATTACTTTTAACTAGTGCACCATTCTTTTAGAGTGCACAGCTTTCATCAGTCAGTAAATCTCAGTCACCACCAGCAGCACCAACGCTGGCTCTTGAGCATATTGTGGCTCCCTCGAAAACTAGAACTTACGTACCAACGAGACGCCTTCGCAACATGGACGCTTAGGCAACGAGAATTAGGCGACGTATCAGGAAGATTCTACCGTCATCGAGAATCATCGTACAAGCTTCGATAAGGACTCACGCTCTATCTGGAAGGCTCTGGATTGGTCGATCTTAAATAAATACGCGCTACGACTGTAGAATGGGATCATCAAAGAGTCAACAGCGCAAGATGCGATAGTCAAATCGATATAGTCATAAATTTGTAAAAAAATTAGCTACAAGTGTCGTTATAAATTAGTGTGATCCTTCTTGTCTAATCGGAGAAGTTTGGATGGTAGAAACTACCACCTACCTGCGGACAGCTTGAAAAGCTTCATCGTGTCGTCTTTCTGTTTGTTGGAAAATTCTCCTTCATCTTATCAAAGAAACAGCTGACCCATCCTTCCAACTTTTCCTATTTCAAAGAGTCAAAGTAGACCGTGTAGCGCGTTTCAAATGAAAATGCATAACCCGCATTTCTCCGATTTTCGACCAAGTTATTCGTACACTTTCCGGATATCTTATAAAATGCCTTTGAATGAAAATGTGCCGGATCTTTATCTTAATATCCGGAAGTTGATGGGCTTCGAACGAATGCACTCAGAGGCGTCCTACAACTATTTTTGAAGGGGAAATATTACGCGCAATAGGGAAGATAAGGTACTTTTGTTTTACTTTCAGTATGAAAGATTCCATGTATTTATATGTTCACAGTATATGAACTATGCCATATGGTTTATTTGACTGAATAGTACGATTTCTTTGTGCCAGTCTCACAGTCAAACATAGGAAAGTTCCTAAAGAGTTACGCTTCATCTAAGAGCATCGTAAGACTGATATTGACATACACCGCTTAAGTGCAAGTTTAATACTACCAAACTAGATATACAGTGTTTTCCAGAAAAAAAAAGATTTTGACTTTGTTTTTTACGTAATGCTTTGTATTTTACTACATACTCGGATGTACGTTTCCTAGAGAAGAAAATTGATCCAACATGCTTACACCGTTTTGTTGATTGGCTGTTCAGCTATAAAAAGTTCAATATACAAAAGCGCAAAACTTTGACAGCCGGTCAGATCGCCATTTTGGTAGACTGATTTTATATTACAGGATCACAAAGTAGTTGTAATGAACTTCAAAATGAGGTATCACACAACCACCATTCTATTCTATGCAAAATGGCGCATATACACCATTTTGATTATTCATATGCACTTTTACGCTTAGGGGCCGTTCAAGTATTACGTAAGCAGACTTATTACAATTATTTACCGCCCCATCCCCCTTGTTAGCAAAAGTAAGCAAAGCTCTTACCCCCTCCCCCCATGATTACGTAAACATTTGTCAATTAATGTATTGTTTTTTTTAATATTATGATTATAACGTTATAATTATAATTTGAAAAATAAGCAAATAGATTTATATTTTACTGATACGGTATTCAATATAGAGTAAAGGACAAAAATATTATATCTTACTAACATAACAACCTTATTTTAAATTTTTGGTACATTTATTAAATTCAAATTAAGTCTTCAGTCCATGAAACCCGAATCCATGATTCTAAGTTTTCGATGACATTGGATTGCTTCGATTGCTGCTCAGTATTGTGAGTTTGCTCGCTTTCATCAGATTTTGGAATATCTACGTCGTTCTCATCGAGCCATTCAACATCATGGTGCTCTAAATTTTGAATAATGCACATCAGTTCATTAGCACGACGAGTAGCGACTCTTACAGGTCTAACTTTCCTATCAGTGTACGTGTTTACTTTTTTATGGATATTTTCGATGTGACGATTTAGTGACGACGGAAGCATGATAAAGACCACACGTTTTGAATGTTCGACTTGATAGCTTCAATTTGCAGGAAATCTTTGAGTGAAGCACTTAAGCGTAGAGCTAAATTGACTGGAAGATTAAGAAATTGCCCTCCTTCATCCAAAACCAAGTCATCAACTGTGTGTTTTACTTTTACAGGTGGTGGAAGAAACCTATTGTCTAGTAATCTAAATAGGTCACTTCTTGGACGACACTATTCTGTATTTCTACATTTTACAATTTGAAGCAAGTACTGGCTCTCATGCACAAGTTCTGAATACCATTTAATGTCTGGAAAATCAGGAAGATCTTGTTCACCCGCCCTAACATATTTTGCATTAATATTATAGCCATCAATTTCCATTCAACTCCATACTTCAGCTAATACATTTCCTGCAAATTCGAAATTAGATCTTTCTAAATGTTCATCCAAATGAGACCCAAAATGGTCACGAGGCAATATTAAACCAGCCACTTCCCGACTAAAAGGAATGATTCTGCGCTCTACTCTATTATACGCACTTCTTCCAGGAGCATTGGTAGCTGAAAACAATGCATCGAGATCATGTCGCTTAAAGTGTTGCATAGCAAACCCTATGACTTTTGATAACGTGGATTTTCATCTGGCCCTCCATCAACCGTCATGATTACCACTGGTTTTACTAGTCGATGGTCAGTTTTAGCTAATGGTCGAAACTCTTCAAGTTCGAGAAGCGTCTCGAAATCCTGAGCATGAGTATTAGCAGTAGATGACTATGCTTTCCACACGAATAGCGATGTATGTTGGTCCAGAATATCCAACGGCTTGCGGTTGTCCTAGCATATTGGAAGTGATTTTGATACCAGCATAAACAGATGGTATTAATTTATGACGCTCAGCGATTACCCAATCGTGATCAGGCAATTTGATTCTATATTCCATGTGCATCAGAAGAGGTGCTTGCTTATTTGCCGCAGTTACGCCAATAGGGACTCGATCTTTATCATCTTGAGATATGAAAAATACTTGATCTGGTCCAACTATGGATGCTATGTTCTCTAAATAATGGATTGATGTTTCAGCGAATTTGCTATCGAAGTGGCTCTTGTGGTGATCAGTTTGAGCCCGAATGAGCTTAATAGGACTGTCGATACATGTCTGTCTTCGTCCCTCTGCAGAATTAGATTTTCTGGGAATCAAACGAAGATATGTCCCACTGCGACTAACGTCAAATCCTATTTTATGTAATTCTTGTGTGAGTTCATCAAGAGTTTTTACGCTGCGAATTGATTCCGTTCGTCTTCTATCATCTGCTGCAATCCCAAATAAAGCTATATCCGCGATTGTTTTCAATAGTGAATGTTGATTGCTTTCAAGATTAGGACGTCCCACTGAATCCCTCATAGATATTATTTTTTTATTTCTGGATTTTCATGACAAATATCTTCTAACTTTCTTTTCATACCATCCCTGTGTTTCGTCTGAGCAACTGCGTTTTGAACCTTCCTGTTTAAAGACTGTTTTGCTGTTTTTATTTCCTAGCGCAACTTAATGATCTGTTTATCAACTTCAGCACGGCTTGGCATAGTATCTCTGGCAGAATACAAAGCATTCAGATTTTTTTCGAGTATAGCAATCTTATTTTTCATAGCTTCCTGAGAAGGTTTTGCTCTCTGTTTATCTGTATTTTCATTAATTTCGCATTGCTGTTATGATTCATTACCGGGTTTTATTTTATCTTCCTCCTATTTTTTAATATTTGAAGCTGACTGTATAATTTGTGTTTTTTCTGCAGGTTTACAGATTGCCTAAAAATAAAAACTTTCTATGGATTCTGCTAACGATTCTCTTATTAAGCTACATAAATGTAAAGTATGGCAGTATACATATGGTAAATACAAAACCCTATGGCTTCAAATCTAATATGTCTAAACGAGCAATTCGTTCTGGTCACAAAATACAGGGTGTTAGTTTTCTGTATATATGTATAAAACTTTTTGGCGATTTCTAATATTTCTAGTACTCATAGCTACCTAAAATGATTTCGTCACTCACCTTAGCGAAAAAGTTTAGTAGATTGGATTTATTCTTAGTCGCTGCTTGCAATTCTTCTTCGATTCTCTTAGATACAATAATATCTAGTTCCTTGTCGGATTTTGCTTGTAATTTGTAATTTCGCCACACTTCGTTAACTAACTTTTGTACATTTTGTACTTTCGTACTTGTATGAGATTTTTTAAAACTTTCAAACAATTTTTGGTATAACTTGGATTTGTCTATGTGAAACGACATCTTATTTAAACATTAAACTTTGGCTAATGGAATTATTGGTAACATAAATGTTAACTTGCTTTACTAGGCTATGCAATACGTCTACTCGCTAAGTATCCAAACGAAACAATACACTGATAGAGGAAATTTAGTGAACACCGCGCGGTAATTCCCCTACTCGGTTCTAAAGCGAGTAGGGGAATTACCGCGCGCTGTTCACTAAACGTATGCATTATTTGCGGGAATCCCCGGAAATGCGTTTCGTCTTCAAGCAAAGACAATGTGAGGGTTGCCATTCGTGTAAAAAAGTGAATAACTACCGATGACGTAATCATCATCTAGACTCCCCTACCCCTCATGTCATCCAAAATAAGCAAAACAAAGAACCCCCCGCCCCTCCCCTAGTGCTCACGTAATACTTGAACGGAACCTTACGTATAATATTCAAGCATTAGTCTTACTGCCTCAAATTTCAGCTTGCTAACTTGACCCGTTCAAAAAAAGAGTAGGGTGGGAGACAACGTCGAAATTGAAGTTATGGCAGTACTGAATTCGGGTAGCGATATATAATACTCTATTTACTACGTCAAGCTTCAAATATTACTTATACACTTGATTTTTGTCCCTATCATTTTCACATTATCAAAAAAATATGTTTTTTGCCATTATTATACAAGGTGTAATAAAATTGGCAATATTACATTGGAACCAGTCCGACCCTGTCAGTCTAAATGAGTGAATTGATTTCTATTGGCTCCATCGTCTCATGCTCCAACTTCTTCCTGGGTGCTGTAAGAGGTTTTTCATAGGACCTTGTCGCATTATTACTTTCCACGTAAACTGGCTAGAAATTATTCTAACGGGGAGAATTTTGAAGAATGAAACATCATGAGTTTTTTTGATGTTGTATGACATGTGCTTCACGAAAAACCATATCACTCATTTCCGTCGGTCTTTTTGTCCGCTAATCCTCGACCCCTCTATAGCTTGGAAAGTACTGCTTGGATTTTGATGAAATTTTGACACAAGGCTCCTGCTAAACCAAGGACAAAAAACCTTTGTAGTTTTTCAAAATGGGACTTTTTGCGGTGGAACTAGGAACAAATGAAGCAAGAATAGAAATCGGCCAAAATTTGTTTTTATACGTTTCAGAGGCTCCTGGTCGTTCTCGGACCTTTTTTGTGTGAATTTGTGTATATTGATAGTTGGGGGCAGTATGTGGTGGGGATGGGTGTATTCCAATTTTTTTATGTTAGCATAGTTTTACGCTTTCAACCCCCAGTAAAATTGCACTTAAATGATAATAGTAGAGTATTTTCAACATGTAGAGATACTTGCGTCTAGGTCTGACCTATGTCTGATGTATGGACGATGACCGTTGAGTGGCGAGGCTAGTCAAACTACGTTGTCAGATGGTCGGTAGTATACGTAGCACAGACGAGAAATTTCTAGACTGCATTTCTGTCAAATTGATTGGGACCATAGATTAAATGTATGGTCCTGTTTGATCGACTATCCAATTTTGTACAATAAGTAATACATGTTTGCAGCCTGCTTTTTTCTCACAGCGATCAACTTTTGCGGAACATAGTTCTCCTTGAACTGTGGTAGCATTGAGTTAGAGGAGTATAGACAACCTAAGTGACGCCATTTTTAGTCTAATCATATTAGCAAATTTCCCCGAAATAATTGTAAAGTCTGGTTTTATTGGTACAAGTTGTACAAGGAGGTATTTAAAACATGGACGCATAAAATGGCTACACCAATTTTTGTGGGAAAACTTTTTATTTGATAACAAAGAATGAAAAAACGTGTTTTTTAGGATTCGATCGAAAGTATTGACAGGAGCGTAAAAACTTCTAATATAATGTTTTTAGGGATTTATCAGACCTACAAAATGAGACCACACGTAAAAAGATATGACTAATAGAAAAAATGTTATGGCCGAAAAACGAAACAAAATGCAGGTTTTGGCAATTGTTGGTAATCCGACGATAATATCACGCAACTACTTGAAATTTTTCGAATCCGTAGGACTCTTACTTCTAAATAACAACAACGAAATTGGAGTATATTGCTCAAGTATTTTTTTTAATTTCTGATTTTTTTTTACCTGTTTTCCGACCATCACTACTAGTGTCAAAGAGCATTTAATAACAAACTACACGTATTTACCTTGCCGTTTTTTTTTTATAAACAATTTCAAACATTTCGTATTTGTGAGTAATTGAACAAATACGCTATGATATTTGACAAACATACGTTACTGTTCACATTTTAAATCAAAGCGGATGTGTCTATCATCTTTTGTTGCAACTTACACATAAATACGAAATGCTTGAATTTGTTTAGAAGAAAAAACGTAACCCATCCTTTTTTGCATAAAAATAACATTTATCTTCCGGAATGGTTTGCGATTCATATCGGCAGGGTAATCTAGTGTATTTTGCTATAAAATTCCCTTTGAACTAACCCTGTATATTTCTCAATAAACTAGTACTGATAGCCGGAACAGGTGTTTCGAGATAAGCAGTTAGATATTCTCCAAAACTACTTCACCAATCTCCTCCAATTTTGTTGTGGTTATTTTGAAGTACGAATTCTACAAATTTGAAGAATTTCAAATATCTGCGAGAAACCGTCGTGGTATTACCAAGTGTGGAAACCTGCAGTTTTCCTCGGTTTTCGGCCATAACTTTTTTGGTATTTGTCGGATATTTTTACGTGTTGTCTCATTTTGTAGGTCTTATAAATACCTAAAAATCTTATATGAAAAGTTTTTGCGTTTCTGCCAACACTTTCGATTGAATCCCAAAAAACACGTTTTCTCATTCTTAGTTGTCGAATAAAAAGTTTTCCCACAAAAATTGCTGTACCCATTTTATGCGTCCATGTTTTGAATATCCCCTTG